TAGCTTGATGTTCAGATGAAAGTCAGGGTAGGAAGTAAGGTGAAATCGTATTTTCTTTCTGCTTTTTTTCTACAGAAAGTTTTTAGCTTCGAATCAAATAATCGAACCTCAATTTTCTATGTATTGCCTTTAGATGAATATTGCCTTGAGATGTAATAATAATAATCGTAAGCCTATAGATAGGACGTTGATTTTCGTTTGTTATCTCTCTGTTTATTACTACATTTATACTTTACAATGAAATTCTGTAGTTGTTACATGAAACAAACGATTCAATTGGTGTCATTAAACATATATAAAAAGGCATTTTTAATATCAGTTTTTTTGTGTATAGTTATTAAACGAAAAACATGAGAAAACGATGAGGATGTCTCCTAGTGGGAAAAACTAGTATACGGAGTAACGAAGCGATTTTATGGAAGTAGAAACAGTTGTTTAACACGCACTTTAAGACTAATATGCGATCTCTCTATTTTCAGGTAAGCTAGATTCTGCATAACAGAAACCATTATACGAATCTCTCTGGAACACTACGAGGCGGTCCAAGCGGATGGATAAGGAATTGAACTTTCTAAGCACTAGTGTCGATGATATGGATCGATTTCTCACAGAGTTATATTCTATATCTGTAAAACGCTCCGTTTTTGATAAACAAGATAAAACATAAATGTTATCAGAAATCTTAGATCTTTTATAATTTGGATATGTACGAAACTACTGTTGTTACATTTTCTATTAAACAGCCTATCAAGCAAATCGGCACCCCTTATAATATATAAGATGCAGTGTTGTATATATAATAAACTAGGATTTGTAATGTTTGTAGCTGAAGTATCTTACTCTTATTGGAAAAAAGAAAAGGATAAATAGTATATTTATCCTTTTCTTTTTTCCAAAGAGCCCCTGCGACCTCTTGTAAAATCTGGTCTGTTTGGATAGTGCTATTGTAATGTTATGCCTTTACACCAGGTCGACGGACGCGTTAGAACACTGGGGCAAAATACTCCTTTCAAAACAGCCAACGTTCTTTCGATCGGGCCTAGCTGCTAGCCAGCGTTCCTTGTCCTAATAGTCGTCAAATTATACTTCATGTCGGTAATCCGCGAAATCAAGAGACCCTATATATATATATATATATATGTATATATATATATATATATGTATATATATATATATATGTATAGAGGAGAAGAGAAGCTTTTTTATGTAGTCTTTACTTATGCATCTAGAAATGTTTATAAAGTAACTAAAGGCATTGCATGAGACGATAGTGGCTATAATACAAGTTGTTCGTGTCGTGTGTTTACGCACTTACAGCCTACTCCTTTGAGCTGCTCAGAAGAAGCGCCATACCTTACGCTATTTGTCTCACGTTCCACGGAGTTAGCTTTGCTAATAAACTTGAACCAAGTGTTGTATCGAAGTAGTATAATTTTTTTTGTTGTTAAATGACCTCTACCACATACAATGGCAGATGGTCTTAGGACGCGTCCAAAAAAGGCACTCATCAACTTGACTAGACGCAGGAATGAATCGATTTTTGCTTTCAGTATAATCGTTTTCTAATGAGAACAACAATTTGTACCTATAGTAATCAATACTGAACATCAAATAATCAGTAATTACACGATCTGCCCACAAGGGAATATGGATAACAATAATTAAATAGAAACTGGTCAGTGCCCTCTTATTTTGATTACTTAAAAAACTAAACTCAGCTGCTGCCAAAGGATTTTATGAAATATGTATATTCGTTTGTGTTATGTATTCCAATCCATGAAGTTCCGCTAATTGCTTTGTTTCAAATAGCATATGAATCTCCTTTCCCTTAAACCGAAATCTCAGACGGGAATCAGCGCCCTTGCTTTCTTGTGTCGATTGGTTGACATAGTTGTCGGCAGCAGGTTCATTACTGATTGTCAGCACTTCCATTAACAATGGCACAGGACACCACTTAGTAGTGACAATCCATCGTACACGAATGCCACATCCTGATCGTTGATCCGGCCTTTTGGTCCAGCTTATCAGCTGAATTTACCATATCCTGCTGTCTCGTTCTATGTGACTGACTTCGCAACCTTTGACAGCTTTGAATTTTGTACGGCCTCCTAAGCGAATCGACCCATCTTCTATCCGAAACCCTCTCGATGAGCGCTAGGCTAATACCCGACTACCTTTTTTTTTTACCCAGTTATCTATCCAACCAGCATTCAACAAATTCGTGTAATACGCATCTACAACGATAGACATTGAAAACAATGTTGGAGTCTTTTATTTACAACTGAATGTATAAAATTGTTGTGCGTACCATGTACCGTAAAACTGTGCGTCAAACACCGACATGTAGTGTACAATGTGCAAATTGGCTCATAGTTCTAGCTACCATCTACACGACAACTAAAATAGAAGATACGATTCGGAGTGATCGTACTGTTCTTCATCGGCTGTTAGCCTGGAAATAGCTTCCGAGTGAAATGTACAGTCGTCAATGCGAGGCGGATGGCAGACGAAATTTGTTTACAATGATTTTTTACTTCTGCCCCTTCAGGGCGATCCCTTCTCCATAATGAATGAATCGGTTCAGCAGCCACTGCCTAAACACTAATAGCAGTACTAATTCAGTTCTTTCGCGTTCCATCGCCCCGAATAATGACGAACACTAGCGGACCCTATTCCGCTCGTCCTCAGTGTAAAAAGACAATGCTATTCGCACAGACAATAAGGGGGAGTCGGTGTTCCCCTGTGTCCACATAGCAATATCGTTTAGTTACTACACTAGATCCTATCCAATGCATTTTTTTTTAATTAATATCACCAATGTGTAGGACACCGCCTCTGCGGAAACACGAAAAACCAGCTTTGAATCGACTGCTCTGCCATCACACACAACCCACCTTACGCATACAGCACCTCAAACGGGAAGATCGTATAACCGACGTGATTTTACGGTCAGAGACATGGATCTACCGAGCTAGCCAAAGCCTGCGCAAGGGCTGCCCTTAGCTTCCAGTAGAGCTGCCGGCCTCCCAGGAGACACCGTCACACGTCGAACGCCAGTCGTTTGCGCTATCAGCTTTTCGAAATACGTCGCGCAGCAACAGTCGTTACTAGTGATGAAGGGTGTGGCTAAACAACGCTTACCCTTCTGCTAAACGACGCAGCAAAACTTGATGTTATATACTCCTTATTATTTAACACTAAAGATACTGGGTGACTCTTTTCACTCATACAGTTCTCTGTAGATTCAACAAAACGGTATCTAAAATGAGCTAAATAAGGTTAGGACGCACTTGCGATTATGGGCAGTATAGTAAAAACACAATACGTATACAATGTATAAACATTTTTTAGATTTTTAGATCTAGTGAGAACTTCGCCTGGTAGTAGTGTTTATCCGCCTCCGTGCAAGAAAAGGCATGGTATTTAAGCACATGACCTCCATTACTCAGTTAGAAACCCTTAAATAAACTATAAGTTCATAAACTTATTCAGCTAAGTAAAAAAGTATATATAAAGAATTCTCAAAATTTTACTAACGATTTTTCTAGCTAAATGGCTCAAAGGCCACTATGCTAGGTAATGTGAGTCTGCATTAATATCATTTGAAAGCTGATAATTCGGCAGCAGTAAATGAGCTAAATAGTAGTAAATAGAGATACAGCAACCTAAGGATGTGTAAATTATTTGTGAAGATTGGGTATATTTTAAGCTTTATTTCGATAATAGGATACATGTTGCCCCGGGTCGCAAAAGATTGTTCTTTATGGTCAAAACGCGTTATCGGAAGATTTCGGCTTAAAGATAATTCTGTCACTTTCGTTTCGAAAGCTCCTTGCTGTGATCGACCTACTACATAAATAGTTAATGAAATTATTTCGACATTTGGACAGAACCTATACGTGAGTAGTCATGGTGTCGCTAGGGAACTAAATATCCTTTACTATTACTACTACAATTTCAACCATTTTAAAATAGCTGACTCCAAAAAATCTCGATGTTTTGACCTGAATTGACACAAAGTGACTTGAAAGTATTTACCCGGTTGTATTTTCATCTATAAAACTCTACAGAAATGCAACGTAATCGAACCACTTGTCGGGAAATGGAAAGTGGATCACATACGACAATAATATGCAAAAAAAATGGGAACCTGTGGCAGGTCCCAGACTGATTCCCAAAGAAGACGATCCTATGTCTTTGGTGGGATTAAATAGGAATCGTGCATTATGAGCTGCAAAATAGTTGACTCGAATTTCTACTGTCACCAACTAAGAAGATTACAACAAGCTATTAAAAAATGACCGGAACTGTAGAATGAAGGAACATCATCTTTCACTATGACGAATCCGGACCACATGTTTAGCTCTCTGGCAAATATTGAAAGAACTTAGATGGGCACGGCGAATGCCGTACTGCCACCATCAGACTTTCTGTTCGATTTCTGTAGAACTTCTTTAATGGTATTAATTTAAATTTAACGGAAAGATGCGAAAATCATGTAACAAAATTTTTCGTCCTGAAACTAAACAAATTTCAGACTGATCCGACTATGGCATTACCAGTGAAATTGCGGAATGCAATCGATCTTTAGCGCATACTTAGTTTAGTAACGTTATTTTAAAATATAAAATTTTCTTCCATATTTGGCTTGAAGCAGTCTACACTTTTTCGACAAGCCAATATATACTTTTTTTTTACTGAAGGTAATCCGTTTGACCGAGATACACTTTCGAGACTTTAGTCTTAACGAAGTTTTTATTATTATTTTCATTAAACTCTTTAAAAAAATCCATCACAAGGCCAATAGACCATTGTTCTCAATAAAATATGGCGCAATATCGCTACGGTTTCCATAAAATCTCGCTAAAACTGTGGTATTGCAGAAGTAGTGACCACTTTACCCTTAAGGCCCAATAGCAAACGGATTAGCCTGGCTTTCAGCGGTTTTCTCAGCCTTGTTAGAGTAAAAAGTTCACCACAAAAAGTTCATCTCTGTCAGAAGTACACCAGATATTTAGTTTACTTAACATTGTGCATGATATCTTTATTACCATTACTGTTATTAGAAATACATAGTGTTTCCTCCACGGTGATAATATACTCAAAACAAGCTGCTTTTTGTTGCACAAGTCGCATGATGTATGTTTAATTAGTATTGACATCTGCCTATTCGTTAAGACGATAGTGGTTTCGTTGACGACACATCAAGTACTCGCCTTTAATTTTCTCTTGCTTCTGCATTATAACAGTGAGGGGTTCTATACACTGCTCGATCTAGGTCATGCTCTCGATCAGCGAGCTCTTCAAGTGGGTTCCGATAGCCGTGACTGTAGCATCATTCAACCTAAATACACTCTCGACAACCTGTGTGTGCATTTATACAAATAAAGCACAGTACATAAGGCACAAATAAAAATATTACGACATGCTTAAATATACAGTTTAGTTCAACAGAAATTCGAAAGATCGTCAAATCGAAATTCATAAGCACGCATTAAAAGAATGTGTAGATTATTTATCGATGATATTAGGTATTACGTGTCATTTCATCGTTACCTGAAGTTCTGTTGAAGTTGTGTCCATTCCGCAGAAGGCGGCCCAATCGTTTACAACGAGACCAGCGCCAATAACGTTACTACCACGATTGATTGTACCTAAGGGGGCAATTCAATGCAGGGCAAGTGATCAATTTCACTCATAAACCAAACTCATTTCAAATACCAAAAATGGAACACATCAAATAACCTGAACTCAAGAAGTTCAAGTCAATGAAATGCCTATTTGGGTAAAATTAGCGATTACCATTTCGTTTCAAAAACACTTCAAAGTAACTGGTTGAATTTATAACAGATCTATTACATCCATTAAGTTTATTCCTCTAAAAAAGCCATCCTCTCCGATCGAGAAAATACATAGCATTTACCGTGAAGTTAGCAAAAAAAAATGCTAAGCTTGCTTTGTGGACATTTCTGATTCGACACTGTTCATTTTTTCATTAGAAGAAAAAAATTTAATAAGCTAAATCGCGCAAAATCCTTGCTGATAACAAATGACACCGAGTTAAAATCACTTACCGGCAACAAGTGGCACCTGAAGAAGCGATGACAATTCTTTCTGGTCCTCAACCGATGCGTTGGGATGCAAAAGACCCCCTTGGTTTGACAGAGCACAGTAACTTCCTACGAGTGCTTGTGAAGCAAGTGTGTGACGGAACACCTCCACCTGTTAACAAGACCAGGCAAAAAATCTTGATTAAATTAGGATGAGAAAACAGCACTCGCTGTGAGACTACACAAAATGAATACACAACATAGATCAATAATGCACCAGTTAAGATTGTAAGTTTATATCTCATTGATCCAGATCAGGAGTTAACACCATGTCTTGCAGCTTAGATCCTACGTAGAACTGCGACAGCTTAGAGTCAAATATATTTCCCAATTTTCTCAAACATCGCGCATGAATTGTTGTAAAGTGCATGATTTGTTGGTCGGTAACCTAATAATAATAATAAAACTATTTACCTTAAGGGTATCGGCAATAATTTCTTCAGTTTCCTTATCGATATCGGGATGAACTAAAGAAACATAGTCGTTACAAGCGATCACATTGCCCAGTGCGGAGAGGCGCTCTTCAACGCGCTGGATTTTCACAGAATCTGGTAGTGAGTTACGCAATTGTTGCAACTCTTGGTCTGTGGTGGTAAATGGCACAAGAAGCCCGTGACGATTTCCAGCAGTTAACCTACCTGTAAATAGACAAACGCACAGAGCAACGTAAATCGTTAGAAAGAAATTCGTCTCAAACTAGAGCAAATGCAGATGACAACTTGACTATATATAATTCATACCGTAGAATCAGATTGACATACGTGTACATGCGTGCTCTCGCGACAACGGTACCTATCGACAACAACGTTTTTATGACGCGGTTTAAAAGTGCGCTCCGGCAGTTCAAGGCGTTCACAGAACGCCTGTAGAAAAATATCTTTAGATCTTTAAAATATCAAGTTGTGCTCTTCAGTGTGACTTGGCATTGATAGTTACTTTTTAATTGCGATCAAACTGGCTACTTCTTTTTTCGGAGACATTGTTGCATCGGTGTGTCGGCTAAACCCAGCAAACAAAAATAACACTTAGGTCGATATAGGTTCGCATGCATCCATTCTTACCAGCCAATTACTAAAGAAGATCATCACAAGCTTTCTCACAACAACATTCTAATATTGAAATTACCTATCAACCTGGGTGGGAACACAAAAATGTACACAACTCAGTGCTTATAATAATGGGTAATGACAAGTAATTTAGTCGTGTGTTTTTCAATAAAAACTCCTTTTATTAACATTTATTTACAAACCCTTTAACTAACTCTTGTTAGATCCGACTTGAGTTGCCCGGGCGCGCCCTACATTGTACTAGCATGTACTTTTTGGCCGGATATGTTTCGAACAATCTAGATAACCGCTAGACAACTACGCTTTCAGGTACCGTTATATAGCCTACACAAAATAACACTTGCCTAGAATGCAAATCTCTAGCATTGTAATCCGATTTACACTTACCGATAATGCGGCATCCGGCAATCGATGCGTGTACAACTGGCATCACATCACTGAGTTCACCTTCGAATACTGAGTAGAAGTTTTCACTGCCGCCGATAGCTACGAGGCAATAGCTATTTGTCAGTTTCGAAAATACGCCTACCTCATTGTTATTTTCGAATTGCACTCGAAGTGCCATATTGTCACCCGACAGGGATGCTTCTGTGAGGCTAACAACGACTGACAGGATGGAGCAAGCAGACAAAGCTTGATGAGAATTACACAGTAGTTTCGCTAAGACTTTAGCCTCTACGTACGCTGGGGCCACGTGAGGCAGTGCAATGAAGCTGTGTAAGCACACAGAACGCTGTTTGACAAGGGAGTGAGCTTATATACGATGAGCACAACGGGCCAACCTCCTATTCGATGGAAGTCTACTTGCCTCTACGGCGCTATTCGTATCTTTGTCGTGCTCACGGGCTTGTCTGCACAGCGCGCTCCCTTGATGGCAGAAAACGCTGTCTGCTGACCGGTTGCTTTGTTTACATTGGAACCTGTAGCGATACCAGTGGAGAAAGAAAGAAGCTCACCAACGATCAGCTTGGCTATAGAGCTACCAGAGGGCGCCACTCGTGCCAGCTAAAAGAGAAGCTCACATGACTACTTTGGCGATACGGTTCCTTAATTGTATATGAATGGTATGCTAAATAAAGTGTATAGGCAGCGAGTTATTCTAGTTGCGCGTGCAGTCTCGACTGCGAGTGCTGGTCGAAGTTCAAGTCCTGATATAGAGACACTTTTTTCCATGCTGGAAGCCAGTCGTCTGACGTAGTGTCTAACGGTGGCTTCGGACGCAGAACTCGAGACACTTAGGCTTAGGTGATACGACGAAGACGTACATAGCAGGGCCGGGGCACCAAAGATTCATCAAGGGCAAGCTCATTGTCATAATGCACTTACGATTACATCGTTCCGTCTATGACGCACACGAGCGCTGGGATGTTTATGTAATGAGATGAATAGTTGTAGGATAGGCTAAGTAAAAAATGGTAAAAACTTAGCTTCACAGAATTTGTTTCTTTATTATATTGTTCTCTTGCAGATGAACATCTCATAGATCATACGAAGCAAAAAGCAAAATTTATCTTATAGAGTACTGCAATATATGCATCCTACATGAAATATTTTGAACATTCAATATATTATTGAAAAAAATAAGACTTCCAAAATAAGAGTATTCCGGTTATTGTGAACACGTTCAATCAGTGGCTTAACAGCATCCATAATTGAGCATTTTGCTTAACGTTATTCCTTAACTACCTGTTTACCCGTTTTATTAACAACTCGTGACGCACATTGTGTCAGAATTGAGATATCCTAATACGAATCAATAAAGTGGAATGTAAGCACCACTTCGCGTCCGCGACCACCACTAGATGTTGACAGCCAGTTAGGAGGTGGGAAGGTAGTCCTGCAACACGGTTCATGTCTCTCTAACGAACCGTCATTACCATGAGTATGTACGATCTTAGTTAATTAATGCACCTTGATCATTTGTAAATATTGGAGCCTCACTGTGTTTATCGGCAATGAGAACGCAGCGTCGTATGCCTTCCACATAGGTATTTCATTTCTGGATGAATAGGTTGTAGGTAGGTTGACTGGTCTGCGAACCAGCATAAGGGCACTCGAGAAAGGTTTCGTTCGTGGGCCCTTGATCTAAATAGAAAATGATTTACAACATTTTTCAGTGTAAAACACAATTCGAACAGATCTGGTAAATGTATAGGTTGTAGTGTCTCAATGTACTAGAATCGTAACTTTTTCTGCGATGGATCTTTTGATCTGATAACGGTTAACTACTGCTATTAGTTGTTTTATCGAAATGATCCGAATCTGATACGCCTGTCCAATCTAGTCTCCCACAGATCTACTGGAAGCACAACGCTATTGGAGAAGATCAGCATTTGATCGATGCTTACGTAGTTTCGGACATAAAAGTCGAAACAGTCACTAAAGACTACCCCTGCAATTTGTTATTTACAATGTTATTTTCAATAGAAGACTCTTAATAAGAATTTTACAAATGAGAGTGACGTATAATAACATCGATCACGATGACGATTATCGTTGTGCGGTTGCTTTTGGACAATAACCAAATGAAATTTTTTCCTGACATAACAATTCCTGTAGGGGGCAAGTAAGACCACCGCTCAATTTGTTTCAGCGATGAGCTATTACAGTGGCTGGCTGGGTTGCACGCCCTCCTTTCTAAAGGCTTTTTGTGGGGGGGCAGTTGCATCGTCTGCTTGGCCTTATGATCTCCGGCTTCATAGGCGAGGGTCTATGGTTAACTTGCTAGGTTCTTGCGTGAAAAATTGCGTGCATATTTATATGATACGCGAGCGCACAGCAGCAATGTCCTCTCGAAAATAGGACTTTTATTATTCTCATCTACTTAAATGTATGGCCCACTTCCAGCTGCCTCTTCAGTTTCGCTACCATTCTGCCTTAGAGTGCTTGCTTAATATATGGTGTTACCAAATCACCACAAGGAATACGGAATTGGCAAAAACATACGGCAACCCGTGCCACAAGATTTTTTTCAATTTTTTTGCCGGCGGCATCTTTTTTAGAGCTACCTTAAAATGATAAATACAAACAACATTGTTAATATCTTCCAGCAACATAGATGCACTACAGTGGCAAGTACTGTCAATGTAATAGAAACGATCGAATACAACATGTGTGTTTGGCAAGCCATCTTTCGGCCTAAAATATATCTATATGACATACACTACGATATTGATGTTATTCGCTGGAGTGGGTCTTGCTTGTTAATCGGTTATTAATACTGCTTGACGTATCGATGGATAGGGTTAAGGGGCACTAAGGATAACGACTGTATGAAGCTGAAGTCATTGGAAAACGTTTGCTTTCGTAATAACATCTGCTTTCCGTACCAATCTCCTGTTTTGTTGCATATATCGCCAAATACGTCACTTATAACTTCAAATAATTTATTCTAATTATTAAACTTATTAAAAAGTTCAAATTAACATCTTTTTCTTTTTACTTTGGAGCTGGCACGAAACCTTCCTCTTCTAGTTTCGTCAATTCATTGCTCCCCAACCACAATGATATATATATATATAATCTAAGAAATACAAGAAATATATCTGCCTCTGTTAGGGGTCCAAGTGTCCATCATGAAAGGCCGAATGTTACTGACCGATTGATGCTGTCAGGCTCTCTCTCTGAGTAGGCCGCATGAAGGATAGTATTTGACAATCATGACAGAGACCGTGCAGCCATTGGTGGCAAACGATGTAAGTATGCCGTCTTAGCGCATTAGATGTGTTTCTAGCTGTGTGGGGGGGGGGGGGAACTGTACCTACGCGTTCGAGGGTCGACCTAAGCTATTTGTCATTCTGTCGATAGGCTGAATCATCTCTTTAACATGTTTTTTTTTCAACCAAAAAAACGCTCAATTATTAATTATAAGTGAAATACAACTATCTGCAATGTTTCTCTTCTGGTCGGCTTTGTTTGTCTACATTTAAATGCTCATACCGATGACGTTGTTCAGCTCGAACTAACTTACTTTACATAAAGTATGAGTGAGAATATTATTTGACTCTGATTACCTACAACTTAGCAACGAGATGAGTATAAGCGGTAATGGGGCAAAAGCCTTCACAACTGACAGGTATTAACAGAGGGATTTGTTTCTAATGGCTCGTGGGTTGATGCGAAAACATGCGTCACCGTCTTACCAATATAATATACCAATCTTATGGCCAATACCACCTTGAAGTCTAGGTGCTTCCTGAAATCTTATGCTCTAGCAACTGGCAGGAAAAGCTAGGAATTTAAGATACCTGTAATAGGACACGATATCGGCAGTAATACCCCAATTAGTATAGTTTCAAATAAAGCACGTGGCATATTTTGTTTAAGTGAAAGGTGGATCATAATTATTTGGTTCGATCTCATCAGAATGGTTTACCCATAGCTGATGTGTGCTGTGCAGAGTTTCAAACCCAACAAACCCCTGGGAACTAGGGACGATGATAACTGGAATAGCGGGTGAAAAAATTCCCACTCTGATTTTGATGCTCTGGTTCAACTTCGGTTATCATGGATCTCGTGTGCTTTTATACGCCAAAAGGACGACAAGTAGTCGTGTATTAAAGTGAGAATTAAGCTGGATTTCAGATAAAAGCGACTTTCGAAATTCTGATGAATGAAAAATCGAGGAACGTGCTGATACTACCTAAGTACACAGCGCTCGATAAACTTCCTTATAAAATCGCACACGCTTTTTTCTAATTCTACATTCTACCTAACAAAATAACCTATTGTCTCTATCCGAGGACAACAGTCCTGTGACAAAACGAAGCGCTTCTGTTTTTGTCAATCATTCATCTTCCGAAGTATCTCAGACGTTTCTTAGAGTCACGTAGTCACTTGTGAAGTCTTCAAGGACATCAGCCGTCCCACAGTCCCATGGTTTATCAATATCACAGTCAGCTAAGTACAAAATTTTGTCTCTGAACTGTCCAAATAGCGAAGCTGAATACTAATAATGCTAACTCTTTGGTTGTTTTTAAAAATCGTCCCCAAACTACCTAAGTTCACCGCCATTTAATCGATTCACTTAAGAGCGTTGTCACCGACAGAAATTTGACGGTTTTCAGTGTACATGTGTCATTGGACCTACGCGTATTAAACTAGGCTAGATCGATCATAATGATTATGTATATACATGAAGATAGATACGTTTGTCAGTAGGGGATATTCCATATTATGGCATTATTGCATATTCTATTATTGGAGTCGTTTGTGTACAACACCTAGCCCGAGCTGCGACTTTGTTCTATGATGAAATGTCCTACAGCCGGCGGTACATGATGCCAATTTGACTGCATGATTTTCAAGGCTACATTCGGGGTCTGCTCTTATTTCTTCAATCGGACCTTTCATCTTCCCCATTTCATGCAGCACCAAAACAGAATCAACATTAATAAAAGCAGTCGAAAGGACCGCATTTGTAATCTTCCATCCATGTACTTTGTAAGTTGTCTTTTGTTCACTAGTGGGAGCGTACGAGCCAAAAATGAGCGTAAGCTGCCGTTACTAGAAGCAATCGTGATATCAGTAATCTTTCGTTTGGATCTTTTCTGATACTGTTTCTTTTATCGGCCATTTTGTTGCTTTGCACGAAAGCCTGGGAAAACATATAGTTACAGCTAAAGGACACAGGTCGCCTACAGAACGACGCACTATGCGAAGCGCGAATTCCCGCCGTTGCTAGCAGCCGTTGTCAGGGGCAGAATGCTTGACAGCATTACTGTTTGTCGTGTGGCCACAAGAGTCGCTATCGTGGAAGAAACTATAGTAGAATTAAGGCGCAACTAGGCTAGTGGACTTCGTGGTGTCCGCGCCAAGCTATTGCTGCGCATTACTGGCCATGCTTTCTTTGGCTGACTTCTC